ATCTCTTAATGAGCTACACATTCAGATGATCACACATTGTCAGTGTCGATCTTTGAAGTGACACACCTGTATCCCCGTGGGCCTTGCACAATCTTAACTTATTTTGTTAACAAGACAAGGCAGTTTTTATGACTGTTCCATCATCATGTCATCCCGGTGTATTCAGCTCATATGACAATAGATCATCAGAGAGAATCCTAGCAGGATGCAGTTCCAGCCAGTGAACAGCAGGCAGCAGTACCTAAGGTGCTATCTGTCATCGGTTGCTTTTCCTGTTCTTTATCTTCTCCTTTTGGAACCATTTGGCTGTATCTTCTATTTACATACCTAATCCAATTTTTTTTACATTTGTACATTTTAGTCATTTAGGAGACACTCTTATCCAGAGTGACTTACAGGAGCAAGTAGGTGCCTTGCTCAAGGGCACATCGACAGATTTTTCACCTAGTTGGCTCAGGGAATCGAACCAACGACCTTTCGGTTACTGGCCCGACGCTCTTAACAGCTAGGCTACGTGCTGCCCTATGTAGGGGCTTGTCCTCTTTACCCTCACCCCAACCACCTCCCATGCTCCCCCTTTCCCGCTCTCCATCCATCCCTCCTCCCCCCTCACCTCATCCTCCCCCGCACCCTGTGTGTCTGATTGGCTTCCGTCATGCAGTTGCTGACAAAGTTTGGCCCTCCCGAGGCCCCGTAGTCGCGGCGCAGTGCCACCGCCCCGTGGGTCAGTATGGACACGCCTCTGGCGATCCTCATGCGGGGCTTGTCCTTCCAGCCCTGCGGACGCACGGCGAACAGGGCCCTGGGGAGGCCCTCCATGCCCAGGCCGGACAGGGCTGGCCCCACAGCGAACCACATGTGAGAGGGTCCAGCCTGACCCGCAGCCCAGGCTGCTTTAAACACCAGCTCGGCCTCCTCCTGGGAACAGTAGAGCAGACGTACCTGGTGGAGTGGAATACAGGGGAGGAGGAGAGGGGAGATACACGGGTACATAGTGAGATAAGGGGTAAGGGGAGACGGGGAGAAAGAGTGGGAGGGGGGCAGTACAGCAGTCTACCTGGAGGAGTGGGGGAGGGGAGGAGGAGGAAAGGGGGAGTCAGACATATATACGGTAGTGATATAAAGGTCAAGGGAGACAGAGAGGGGGAAGGTGAAGGGAAAAATAGAGAGAGAGAGAGAGGAGAGAGAGAGAGAGAGAGAGAGAGAGAGAGAGAGAGAGAGAGAGAGAGAGAGAGAGAGAGAGAGAGAGAGAGAGAGAGAGAGAGAGAGAGAGAGGGAGTAACAATACTTTCCTATAGGGGAAAGACAAAGCTATACTAACTAGTGAGGTGAGGGTTATAGGATAGGAGTAAGGAGGAGGGAGAGAAGACAGGAAGAGTAAGGAGGAGGGAGAGAAGACAGGAGGAGTAAGGAGGAGGGAGAGAAGGCAGGAGGACTAAGGTGGAGGGAGAGAAGACAGGAGGAGTACGGAGGAGGGAAAGAAGGCAGGAGGACTAAAAGGAGGGAGAAAGGCCAGGAAGGAGGAAGGAGGGAGAGAAGACAGGAGGAGGCGGAGGAGGAGAGAAGAAACAGGGGACAAGGAGGGGGAGAGAAGACAGGGGATTAAGGAGGGGGGAGAGAAGGCAGGGGGAATAAGGAGGAAGGGGGAGAAAAAGGGAGGAGTAAGGAGAGGGAGAGAAGGCACAGGGTAAGGAGGAGGAGAGAAGACAGGAGGAAAATAAGGAGGAGGAGAGAAGCAGGAGAGTAAGGAGGAAGGGAGAGAAGACAGGAAAGTAAGAGGAGGAGAAGAAGGAGTAAGGAGGAGGGAGAGAAGGCAGGAGGAGTAAGGAGGAGGGAGAGAAGACAGGGGGAGGAGGAGGAGGGAGAGAAGGCAGGGGAGTATGAGAGGGAGAAGCAGGGAGTAGGAGGAGGGAAGAGACAGGAGTAGAAGGAGGAGGGAGAAAAGGGAAAGGGGGAAAGAAGGCAAAAAAGGGGGGAGGGAGAGAATAGAGGAGGAGTACGGAGGAGGGAGAGAAGGCAGGAGGAGTAAGGAGGAGGGAGAGAAGGCAGGAGGAGTAAGGAGGAGGGAGAGAAGGCAGGAGCGAATAAGGCGGAGGAGAGGAAGAACAGGTGTATGGAGGAGGGCGAGGACGGGCAGGGAGGAAGTAAGGAGGGGGAGAGAGATGGGCAGGCCAGGAGTAAGGAGGTGGGAGAGAAGACAGGAAGAGAACGGAGGAGGGAGAGAGAAGTAAGAGCTGATGTTACTGCTGTGTTTATGACAGACATACTAATGACAGACGAAATGAAGGAGGGAGAGACAATATGACAGTGGGGGGTTGAGACAGAGAGAATGGAGGGGGTCTAAAGAGCAAACACACCTGAGGGAAAATGGGAGAGGTTAAACGCTGACATATGTTATTAAAAGCAGCAGAGTCTGGGGAGATAGGGAAGGAGGGGTTAGAGAGGGAGAGAGAGAGAGAGAGAGAGAGGAGAGGGGGGGTGGGGGGGGGGGGGGAGGGAGGGAGGGAGAGAAAGAGAAAGAATGGATGCAGTGTTGAGAAGGGGAGAAAGGAAACGGGGGGGAGAGCGGGGAAGTGATGGGGGATGGGGGGAAGTAGGGAAGTGATGGGGGATGGGGGAGAGGGGAAGTGATGGGGATGGGGGAGAGGGAAGTGAGGGGGATGGGGAGAGGGAAGTGATGGGGGATGGGGGAGAGAGGGAAGTGATGGGGGATGGAGGGGAGAGGGAAGTGATGGGGGATGGGGGGAGAGGGAAGTGATGGGGGATGGGGGATGGGGGAGAGAGGGAAGTGATGGGGATGGGGGAGAGGGAAGTGATGGGGGAGGGGGGCGAGAGAGGGAAGTGATGCGGGTTGGGGGATGGGGGGAGAGAAGGAAGTGATGGGGATGGGGGGGGCAGAGAAAAAAGAGAGGCAGACATATTTTGGTAAAATCAGGGCCTGGGGAGATAAGAGATATAGTAACAGCAGGGGTGTAGGGAGAGAGAGAGAGAGAAGGAGAGAAAGCAAGAGAGATAGGGAGGGATGGATGGAGAGAGGGAGGAAGAGAGTGCAGTAGATCAGTCCAACAATGCCACAATTGCTGAGGAAGGGAGAAACAGGGTGAAGAAGGTTTTAAGGGGGTGAGATAGGGGAAACAGGGTTAAGTGAAATGCTGACAGATACAGGAAGAGAAAGGGGAGAGAGGGACTAACAGAATGGGAGAAGGGGGAGGGGGAGAAATGTATAGGGTAGAAAAGATAAGGACAGAGGAAGGAAAAATTGTTATAAAGTGAGGCAGGGAGAGAGGGAGTGGAGGAGACAGAGTGAAAGCACATTTTGAGAATTGTGCCTTCATTGAATTTTGAACTGTAATGGCTTGGCAAAACAATCCAGCCCGGATGCCAATAAACCTCCAGTGAATTGGAGAGGAGGGAGAGAGAGAGAGAGAGAGCGAGAGAGCGAGAGAGCGAGAGAGCGAGAGAGCGAGAGAGCGAGAGAGAGAGAGAGAGAGAGAGAGAGAGAGAGAGAGAGGAGAGAGAGAGGAGAGAGAGAGAGATAACTGATATAAAGACAAATAAGCAGAGGCAGAAGCTCAAAGAGAGGGGGGGAGAAAGAGAGAGCTATTTAAGTGGAAATGGACCCTGTGCACCTGCGTTAGCCCCACACACTGTTGAACACACATTGAGAGAGAAAAAGCAGGAAAAAAGTGGGACATTGAGAGAGAAAAGCAGATAGAGTCTTTAATGCAAACACACACTGTCACTGAGCAGACAGACACAAGCACTGATTATCACTGGGAGAGAGAGAAAGAGATGGGGAAAGAGAGAGAGAAAATGAGAGAGAGTGGGTGAAGACAGAGGGGAAAGGAGAGGAGGGATGAGAGAGAGCAATAAGGGAGGGGAGAGAGAGAAGCAGAGAAAGAGGGAGGGTTAGGGTTAATGCACTGCGCATAGGCAGCCCGCTGCGGGCACTATGTTATATTAACAGTGACAACCAGCCGAGAGAAGCCTAAGGAATCCAATACACACACACACACACACAGGGAGACAGAGCTGCAGTGGCCATGCTGAGACATTAGCGATGACATTGAGACCCATCTGAACCAGCCCAACAGAGAGCAGTGTACGTCTACAGGCAAAGGGACATGCTGCGGAGAGGGGAGAATGAAGGAGGGAGGGAGGGATGGAGGGATGAAAGGAGTAGAAGGAGTGAGGGAGAGATGGAAGGAGAGGACACAAAACGAGCCCAACACAAGCCACAGGACAGAGGTTCTGTCTCTGGGCAAGGATGTGCAGGGAGGGAAGGACGGAGGGAGAGAGGGAATAAGAAAGAGAGGGAGAGGGTTAAAGAGTGAGCTATCATATTACAGAAAGAAAGGAATTGACAGGGAGGGAGAAAGAGGGGAGATATGAGGAATAGGGAGGAGGTAGCAAGTCAGGGATCCATGGAGAAGGAGAAGGATGGAGGCATTCAGCTTGAGAGAGAGATTTTTTAAGTGAAAGGAAAGTAGAAGGAAGGAGCGAGCAAGGGAGAGCGAAAGAAAGGGCACAGGCTAGTCATGAAGGGTGGGAGTGATGAGAAGAACAGAGGGATAGAGGAGAGAGAGGAGAGAGAGCCACAGGGACAGAGGGAGAGAGTAAGAAGGAGGAGGAACCCAGCCAGCCCGGCCAGCCAGCCACACGGAGACTCACGGCCACTCAGTAACACTTCCTCCCCCTTTTCTCCCCCTCCCCTCTCCCCCTCCCTCCCCCCTGTCTCACCTGTGCCTCGTTCTCCTTGAGCAGCCTGAGCGTGCGCGCCCCTCCCAGGTCGTCCGTCACGTTCAGCATGACCACGCTCTTCTTCTCCCAGCCGATGAACGAGCCGTCCGTCAGGCCGTCCACCAACCGACAGGAAGTCCTGGTAGCCGTGGTGACGGGTGGACACCACTGAGAAGGTGGTCCAGTCGTACTCCTCTAGTATTTTGAAGATGACCTCCAGCTGGAGGGTGGTGGATGAGCTGAACTGGAGGAAGATGGAGCCTGACTCCTGCAGTAGGGGGAGCACACCTTAAAGTTCTATAGACACAGGCAGGCACACAGGACTGAACACGGGACAGAACGCTGCCAAACAGGAAGCACAACATCAGCTTTCCTCTAGGAGGTCAGGGTCGCGTTCAGTAGAGCACCTTCTCCACTTCAAAACAGTTCAACACATTGTTGTTGTTTGTTCTCACTGAACGGGACCCCTGTAATTCCTCAGTTTCACAACGTTTTCTCCCGTTTCAGACCTTCTGAACACAACCAAGCATTGAGGATGAAGGGGTTTTCTGGGGTTCTGATTTGGTTAGGATTATGGTTAGGATTTGGGTAGGGTAAACTGATCCTACAGTGTAGATATCTGCCTATGGGTAAACTCTGCCCAGAGCCAGAATGCAGCACAAAGGTGTTTAGAATAAGCCTCACTGGTAAATGAATCCCAATTAATATGTGAAAAATAGCAAATTTGTTAACATGCCATATTGTAGCAAGCCCTAATCCATTAACTACTTTTGAATAATTAAAAAGATTAATCAATCCAGATATAGCAGGGGATTATGTCTTTAAGGTAAGGATTTGGAGACAGTAAGCTGATCCTAGATCTATGCCTACGGGCAACTTCTGTCCGGAGTTTAGAGAGCAGTTAAAGAGAGCCGCTCCTCTCTACAAAGAACTACAACTCCCATGACTACCCTGTGTGTGTTCAGGGTGTGGAGGCATACTGGGGGTTGAAGTTTTCATGGGACGGCTGCAGTGGCAGTGTGACTGCAGGCTAAAACACAGATGATGATTGTTGAGTGAATTCTCCAATGACCGCTGGAACTAGTCTTTTCCACAGATTTGGATTATATTTAGATAGGAATGTGTGTGCGGGGCGGGGGGGTGGGTCTTCAAAGGAAGATCATCAAAGAGGTTTGAACGCATTCCTCAAGAGTAAATGGTTAAAACAGTTATTTGTAAACACAAATGTATTGGTGTTGATTTTTCTAGCTACGTGGCAGCAAAAGCATGTCTGAAACATCTTAATTTACACACATATACTGTAATTAATGTAAACACACCCACTCTCTCTTCCTCCCTCTCTCTCTCTCTCAATTCAATTCAAAGGGCTTTATTGGCATGGGAAACATATGTTTACATTGCCAAATCAAGTGAAATAGATAATAAACAAAAGTGAAATAAACAATCAAAAACTAACAGTAAACATTACACTCACAAAAGTTTCAAAGGAATAGAGACATTTCAAATGTCATATTACCAAATAAAATAAATGTGTATTTGTCACATGCACCGAATACAACAGGTGTAGTAGACCTTACCGTGAAATGCTTACTTACAAGCCCTTAACCAACAACAAAGTTGAAATAATAGAGTTAAGAAAATATTTACTAAATAAACTCAAGCAAAAAATAGTAACACTATATAAATGTACCGAGTCAATGTGTCGGGGGTACAGGTTAGTCGAGGTAGTTTGTACATGTAGATTGGGGTAAAGTGACTATGCATAGATAATAAACAGCTAGTAGCAGCGGTCTTATAGCTTGGGGATAGAAGCTGTTAAGGAGCCTTTTGGACCTAGACTTGGCGCTCCAGTACCGCTTGCCGTGCGGTAGCAGAAAGAACAGTCTATGAGTCGTGCTTGGCCACGCAGTCGTGGGTGAACAGGGAGTACAGGAGGGCACTAATCACGCACCCCTGAAGGGCCCCGGTGTTGAGGATCAGCGTGGCAGATGTGTTGTTGCCTGCACTTACCACCTGGGCGGCGGCCGGTCAGGAAATCCAGGATCCAGCTGCAGAGGGAGGTGTTTAGTCCCAGGGTCCTTAGCTTAGTGATGAGCTTTGTGAGCACTATGGTGTTGAACGCTGAGCTGTAGTCAATGAACAGCATTCTCACATAGGTGTTCCTTTTGTCCAGGTGGGAGAGGGCAGTGTGGAGTGCGATTGAGATTGCGTCATCTGTGGATCTGTTGGGGCGGTATGCGAATTGGAGTGGGTCTAAGATTTCCGGGATGATGGTGTTGATGTGAGCCATGACCAGCCTTTCAAAGCACTTCATGGCTACCGACGTGAGTGCTACGGGGCGGTAGTCATTTAGGCAGGTTACCTTCGCATTCTTGGGCACAGGGATTATGGTGGTCTGCTTGAAACATGTGGGTATTACAGACTCGGTCAGGGAGAGGCATTTAGCTTGCCTGGTAGGGTCAGGTCACTGGGCAGCTCGCGGCTGGGTTTCCCTTTGCAGTCCGTAATAGTTTGCTAGCCCTGCCACATCAGTCACGTACGTTAAGGAACGGGACGGACCAAGGTGCAGCGTGAACGGCGAACATGTTTATTAACTAATAAACACACGAAACAGTAACCAAAACAACAAACTTAACCGTGACGGTCCAAAGGCTAACACACAAGCCTAAACATGAACATAACAAAATCTCACAACGCAGGCAGGAAAACTGACTGAAGTATGATCCCCAATCAGAGACAACGAGCGACAGCTGCCTCTGATTGGGAACCACACCCGGCCAAACATAGAAATACAAAACCTAGAATATATTCACACCCTGACCAAACTAGCTAGAGTTCTATACGCCAGGGCGTGACAACATCCGACGAGCGTCAGAGCCGGTGTAGTAGGATTCAATCTTAGTCCTGTATTGACACTTTGCCTGTTTGTATCACGTTTCAGGAGAAGACCCAGATGCAGACAGTGTTGAAGTAACACAAGTTTATTACAAAAACAGGGTGCAGGCAAGCGACAGGTCAAGGGCAGGCAGAGGTCAGTAATCAAGATCAGAGTCCAAAAGGTACAGAACGGCAGGCAGTCTCAGGTTCAGGGCAGGCAGAGGTCAATAATCCAGAATGGTGTAACAAGGTACAGAACGGCAGGCAGGCTCAGGGTCAGGGCAGGCAGAATGGTCAAAACCGGGAAAACTAGAAAATGCTGGTAGGATTCACAAAACAAAACGAACTGGCAACAGACAAATAGAGAAAACAGGTATAAATACACTGGGGATAATGGGGAAGATGGGCGACACCTGGACGGGGTGGTGACAATCACAAAAACAGGTGAAACAGATCAGGGTGTGACAGTTTGATGGTTTGTCTGAGGGCATAGCGGGATTTCTTATAAGCATCCGGATTAGTGACCCGCTCCTTGAAAGCGGCAGCTCTAGCCTTTAGCTCGGTGCGGATGTTGCCTGTAATCCATGGCTTCTGGTGATGTACATACAGTCACTGTGGGGACGACGTCGTCAATGCACTTATTGATGAAGCCGGTGACTGAGATGGTATACTCCTCAATGCCATTGGTTGAATCACAGAACATATTCCAGTCTGTGCTAGCAAAACAGTCCTGTAGCGTAGCATCTGTGTCACCTGACCACTTCTGTATTGAGCGAGTCACTGGTACTTTAGTTTTTGCTTGTAAGCAGGAATCAGGAGGATAGAATTTTTGCCAAAAGGAGGTCGAAGGAGAGCTTTGTATGCGTCTCTGTGTGTGGAGTAAAGTAGTCTAGAGTTTTTTCTTCAGGGAATCAAAATATGGTTATATTTCGTTTAAAAGCTCTGATGAAGGCCAAGAGAACCATAAACACTTTTCAGTGAGAAAACAGAAATCCACTTTGGGTAAAAAAATAAATACTTATGTTTTCAAAGATGTAGCCTACGATGCAATGCTCGTGATAATTTTCTGAGAATAAAAACTACTTAGCCTACATTTGAACACCACCGCAGAAGCTTCGGGCATCTTCCCAATTAAGTAGCCTAGTGTGGTTATCTGGCTACTTAAAGAGAACTAGGGCCTATTAATCGCAGCCCTCCTCTTCCAATGCATTGTTGGAAAAGTGTGCCGAGAATTCTACAAGATGAAGAGCCAAAATTAGTATAACATCCTGGCATTTAAACCATACTCGATTTTCAAAATGTTGCATACTATTAAACGTTCTATTTTCGCATACTGAGAATGCGTCATGCGTGATTGAGTTGTTTCCTGCTATTCGTTGATTTCTGTGGCACATATCTAATTGATCAGCTATTGTCAAAGCTGACATGAATATGACATCCGGGCATTTAAAGTATACTAGATTTTCGAAATGTTGCATACTATTAAACTTAATATTTTCGCATACTCAAATGACCTACTATTTAGGACGCAAGTTTGGGTATTTGGACACGGCCACTATGTGAACACACACACACACACACACACACACACACACTCAAAGAGTAGAACGATAAGACACAGGAAGCATGGAAACAGACAGACAGGGTCTGAGGCCTAAAGAGTCCCTCTCTTACCTGGGGTGAAGTTATGACAAGGCTATCGGTTAGATAGAGTTTAATGACAAGGCTATCGGTTAGATAGAGTTCAATGACAAGGCTATCGGTTAGATAGAGTTCAATGACAAGGCTATCGGTTAGATAGAGTTCAATGACAAGGCTATCGGTTAGATAGAGTTCAATGACAAGGCTATCGGTTAGATAGAGTCAATGACAAGGCTATCGGTTAGATAGAGTTCAATGACAAGGATATCAGTTAAATATAGTTCAACGACAAGGCTATCGGTTAAATATAGTTCAATGACAAGGCTATCAGTTAAATATAGTTCAACGACAAGGCTATCGGTTAAATATAGTTCAATGACAAGGCTATCAGTTAAATATAGTTCAATGACAAGGCTATCGGTTAAATATAGTTCAATGACAAGGCTATCGGTTAAATATAGTTCAATGACAAGGCTATCGGTTAAATATAGTTAAATGACAAGGCTATCGGTTAGATAGAGTTCAATGACAAGGCTATCGGTTAGATAGAGTTCAATGACAAGGCTATCGGTTAGATAGAGATCAATGACAAGGCTATCGGTTAGATAGAGTTTAATGACAAGGCTATCAGTTAGATAGAGTTTAATGACAAGGCTATCGGTTAGATAGAGATCAATGACAAGGCTATCGGTTAGATAGAGTTTAATGACAAGGCTATCAGTTAGATAGAGTTTAATGACAAGGCTATCGGTTAGATAGAGATCAATGACAAGGCTATCGGTTAGATAGAGATCAATGACAAGGCTATCGGTTAGATAGAGTTCAATGACAAGGCTATCGGTTAGATAGAGTTCATGCAATGGTAGAAGAGCATGTGAATTAAGGAAACGCTTTCAGTTACACTCATTTAGACACAACAGCAACAGCATGACATCTCTTCACCTTAATACAGGTTAGCACTGTGGCTCCTATAAGTCCTCGAGCTATAGTACTGACAGCATGACATAGAGTTGGCTATATAACATGTATCTCAGATAAGGATTGGGCCTTAGATTAATGTAATTCCATAGGAGCAAAAAGGAGGGAAACAGGAATAAAAAAAAAAGGGAAGGGGGAGAGATAAGTTGAGGGAGTGGGAGGTTGGAAAGGAAGCGCGGGTTGGTTGAGAGGTGTGCGGACGAGTCGGCCGTGAAAAAAGCAAAACAGAAAAAAAAGACCATAAGTTTTAAATAAGGGATAAGGAAGCAATAGAGAAGAAGGGGGGAAAGAAAAGTTAGTAGAAGAAAAGGAACTAAACGAAGGAGGAATAGGTGATAAATAAAGGGGGGGTAAGCGAAGACAAGGGAAAAAAAAGAATGTCAAAAGAAAGTGTGGAGTTGGTGAATACTTGGTGAAAGGCAAATGCAGCGACACGGAGAAAAAAAGAAGTGAGCACGAGTGAGGGTAGAAAAAGAGAGGCAAGGGAAGAGGAGATCAAAAAAGAATTAAAGGGACGATAAAGAAGTGGAGAATCGGCGAGACCGAGGAGCGAGGCAGAGGGAGTAGCCCGGGGACGGCAATGAAGGGTAGAAGGAAGGAAGGCACGAGATGCAGAGGCAGAGGAGGCTGTAAGGTGGGACAAGGAATGTAGGGACGAGATAAGAGAGGGGGGGGAGACGGAAGTTGAAAAATGCGGGGCGAGGAGAAGTAGACAATGGGGGAGGGGATAAATTATCCGGACCACGCCTGATTATGAGAGCTATATCCTCGTAACTCAACTTAATTGTTAGTGTGGTTATGGTTGTTCCTGAGGATCGCTTCAAAGTGGATCATATTAAGGCTATAACTTATAACAATTGTGTTTGCAATAATTTGAACATGTAAAACCCACCTATTTTGTCCTCATTGAGTGAAAGGAAGGTACAACATGACAGACCATAATTCCCTGGCAACCTATGTATTACACACCAGGTTTAGCCCTTGGTCCCAGACCATTAGTGGAAACTCACCAAACGACTGTAAACAGGATTTTGTCCATACTTTATACCATACGCTCTCGTGCGCTTCAGGGTCCCTTCCCGGCCCTATCCCTAGGTCCCGGCACCCCCCCCCCTCCTTATGTCCCCAACCCCTACGCTTTTGGAGACCACTCGCGGCCATTTCTACCACAACAGGGTTCCCACCGTCGTCTCACGAGCGTAGATGGGGAGCAGGAGGAAAGGCGGAGACGAGCAATAGCGGATTTAGGAAGTAGAAGGTAATAGGTGGCCTGAGGAAGCTAGGGGAGTCAATCTTCTAAGACAGACCCGCGCCGAGTCTTGCCCTATGTCCTCGGACTACGTAATAATGTCCAACAAGAGGGTTGGGAGGGCGTTTTAACCGGGGCCCTCCTCCGGGTCACAAGCGTAATGACAGAGGGACCCGCGGTACATCACCTAAAGCACGGCTAAAAAGAAGGGACGTGTTAGGGGAGAAGCAGGGCCATCCAAAGCCGGGGCGGCTCGACAGTTGGATTTTTTATTCCCAAGATATTTAATGCTTTGGGTGTGTCGTGACTAATTGCCAAACTGATCATTATTGATTATTACATGATTATGTTAGTCACTAGCTCTAATACGCATGGGAAACAGATGGGGAAGGTCCTAAGAACTGACGCTCGGATGTGTAAAGAAAGCAGTAGGTACCAGACGTAACTGCATTGTGAAATGTTGGGGCAAACCAACACGGGAAAAGTTTTTTAATGAGTATAAAAAACCAAAGACCCCCTTGTTTCCCTACTTAAACGTCTCACCGCTCTCTCGCTATCTCTTCTCAATTTCTCACTGTCCTTTTCCCTTTACTTCCTAGCCTTTCCACAATCAGTCTCCTGTCTCACTCCTCCCTAATGACATCCCGGCAGGGGACAGAAGGGACGTTACGGAAAACATAATGGAAAAGCGTACGGGAGAGACGGGGGAAAAGGGGGGAGAAATGAGGAAAGGTAGGGGTAACCAACCACAACAGGGATACGGAGAGGGGGAGGTCGGAGCGAAGGATATGGGAAAAAAGGTCGGAGAAAGGATTACAGGGAGTTGGACCAGGGAGGTGAAGATGGCTATAAGAAAGAAAGAAAGAAGCAAATAGGGGCCAAGTGGGGTGAGGACGCCGGTAAAGGAGAGAGAGGAAGAAGAGTCGGAGAGAGTAGGAAAGGGAGTATGAAGCAGAAGAAGGGAAGAAAAATAAAAGCGCTGGAAGAAAAAAACGAAGGAGCGCCGAGGTGAAAGCATGGGAAACGAGAGGAGGACAAATGAGACGGCTATGCGAATGAAAGAGAAAGAAGGTAGAGTAAGAGTGGAAGGGGGAGCTAGGAAGGGATGGGGGGCGAAAAAAAACGAACGAGAGGGGGCGGGGACATTAGGGGGATTGAGTGGGGTGTCTCATTTCCTGAAAGTCATAGGCTTCTTATAGAGTTTATTTTCATCCCGTTTTCCCCGAACCCTTCTATAACTTATCAGTATGCGCATTAACCATTCCGCTTTGGGAGGAGGAGAGAAAATGATACCTACCTTCGGCCCAAAGGAAGGTAAGGAAGGGAGGTAGTCCCCACCAAATTGATTTAATTATTATTTACTAAACGAATTAAAAATGGGAGGGGGATGAACACGAGTAACAAACACGTTACACGTTATAGGTAGGTATTGAAGAACTAATAACACTGAAACGGGTCCTAGCATATTAGCACGACAATATTCCTCCTTTTACCCCTCCCCTACTAGAAAGTTTAGGAGAACTTAGGTAACTTTCTCAAGTCTTGATTGTCCACGGTAAGTCTTGTTAGCGTCGCATCGTAAGCTTCTCCCACCCCTTTTTCTCCCCCGTTAGCAAAAAAAGAAAAGTCCCTCCTGCTCCACCTTAATCCTAATACTTTGCCCGTAACTGCCGCCCGTTTGGGAAGAAAAGCAACGCATGTTTTCCGTGTTTGAGTTCTTCGTTGTGTATCTCTGTTGGACCCAGGCCTTCGTGGGAAAGGGGGTCGATTGGGCTTTCTCTTTTCGGGTGCCTTTTAGATGTAGGCTCAGATTGTCCACAAGAGGTCCAATGTCTTCTTCTTGTTGTCTGTTTTACTACTGTCACTCTTCCTGGAAGTGCTTCTGAGGACGGCAATCAGCGGTGTCGATGAATACCCTGTTGTGTGCTGAGAGCAGTGTATAGACATGGCTTGGAAGAGAGTAACAGTGATGGTCCCACCTTATTCACCTTCTTAGATCAGTACTTAGAACAGCTACTCAGCCGTAACATTTATTGTTTAGTGGAGGCACTTTGTCTCTTCACCCCAACCACGTGTTAAAATGGGACAAAGTAGCAACAAGGGGGTAAACAAATGCGTCAGAGGGAACAAAGCTAGGCAAGCTTGAGGTCCGTCTCTCTTATCCTTATCAATTCTTATCTTCAATATTTATGTACTCTGGTAAGAAGGGGCTTTTCTGCTTACTGACACGCTCTTCTGAGCTCCTCGGGTGTGGCTTATTCGAGGCAAAATTATATTATCACTCTGATGTTCGTTAGAAAGCTCAAATCACATTCCTATAACTTCTATCTCCTGAAAACATTGTCTTCCTTCCTCCTTGATATTTTTCTACAACAGGTAAAAGATGTAAACCTGATATACACAGTGTAAAAGCTCTTCAAGTCACAATGTTTTCGTTATAAACGCCTTTATAACCATTTTTTTTACCATCACAAAATTACATTATTTTCCATATTCCATTTCTTCTCATCATTCCCCAATGTTTTGTATGTTGAAATCTATTGTCCGCAATGTTTCATTGTTGTATGTTAAAGTTTTTTTGGGCGGTAAAAAGTCCTCTGAAAAAAGGCATTCTTTCACCATACTAGAATGCCAGAGATAGAGATTCTCTCTCTAATTTATGGTCAGTATTAACGTGTCAAGACCCCTGTGGGTAAGAGGGTCTGGTTGTTTGTCGGCCATTTGCCAAGCTGATATGACGCCTTTGATCCTCACCCAGGGAGAGTCATGACAGCGTAAAGGTTCTCCAAATCGAAGAAAAAAAAATCATTAATACTTTTTCTAACTCTAATAATATACAAGATCAGAGTATAGATTGGGCTCCCGAGTGGCGCAGCGGTCTAAGGCACTGCATCTCCGTGCTTGATGGCGTCACTACAGACCCCTGGTTCGATTCCAGGCTGTATCACAACCGGCCGGGAGTCCCATAGGGCGGCGCACAATTGCCCCCCGCGTCGTCCGGGTTTGGCCTTTGTTGGAGGGAGGGAACATTGTAAACAAGAATTGGTTCTTACTACCTTGCCTAGTTATACGTTTAAATTTAAAAATATATTTAAATTCATTTATTCATTGGTGCGAATTTGCTACACCTGCCAAGCCTGTTAGCACCTGCATAAGTAAAGTCTGAATACCACTACGAAAAAGTGCTTAAATCAAAACGTGAAATAAGGAATAGATTTCCTAATCTGAATCGGTCGGGCCCATGATGAACCCCCCCATTTTCTCGACCCCCCAAAAAGTAAATACGAGTAAAACTTTTCAACTTCTCTCTCTTTTCCCTCCCTTTTCCTCTCCCTCCTTTGCAGCAAGCTGACCTCCACCTCCTGCCCGACGACCATGGTGTTCATCATCCAAAAATCCTTCCTCTCTCTGCTAAGATCGCGTCTAGGCCTTTTTAGCATGAATAACAGTTTACCTCCCCCCTACCCAACTGAAAAACCACCCACCGAACCACCAGCGTATTTACACGCAGCCATGACTAACTTTAGGAGGATGTGATGTCACTGCAGAGGATATGATGTCACCACTCTGTTTTCAAAACCCCCCACCAAAACTCTGACCAAGGGCCACCGTTGGTCAGAATCAAAGTGGAAAGCGAGTGGATTGAAGATATACTGTACCTGCAATAATTATGCTTTCAAAGGGCCCTTATCAGTCGTAAGTGTAAACATCTGTCCTAAGAGGATGTCAACTTACGAGAGCCAAACGTACACCTATGACAGCCTACATAGCACCGTTGCCAAGCTCGAAGGCCCTAAATGTTTGAATTGCATTTGATTGTTTCATTGGTCAAAGCATGTCCGTTGTCATAAGTGATAAGTCAATTGATATAACCTCTTATGAGCGGTTATAACAGGCACCATTGATTTTACAACGGCTTCAAAAAAAAGGTTACACAATTTTCAACTTTTACATGCACTGTTGACTGATTGTGTGTAACTATTCAGAGGGTTTACTGTTTTGCCCTAATTTATTTCTCTTATTTGTATGTTTTGGCTGCCATTTTGAGTAACATTATTTTATGTCTGCTATTAGAGCAGTTTTCCAAGTGCTGATTCAGAGACATTTTGAGTGCAGCGAAAGCCTTTTGACTCTGCATTTCTTTAGTAGGTTCATAAATGTTTCCCCAAAACCAACATCAACATGAAGATAAACTATATGTCAGAAAGCGCATTTTAAGTAACACCTAAATCCAGACATTTAGATACAGGCACCAAACTGGATTATTGCCACTGTTTAGTAATTTCACTCAACAAAAGCTCCACCCTCAAACTAACTTGAATTACTTTATGCATAAGATTACTATGCATTTATAGATACAGTATATACAGAGTTTGACACGGTATCATTTCTGTCGATGGAGTGCATACTACGACCACTTTAGATTTAGGAAGTTGTCCCTCAAAACTAGATAATTTTCAGTTTAAGGAAAGATCGATGGAATGGTTCTCACATATGCAGCCATATAACTTCAGGTGTATGTAACTATATAGATACATATATGTATGTATTGGCTCTAGGTATAACATTATCAATGAATACATTGAAAGTGTTTTCCTATTGAAAGAGCAATGGGTTATCGGAGTATATGCTACAGGTACTGCGTTTGTGTTATATTGAAACCTTTTTAAGTCCTTACAAAGCTAGTTGAATATGTTATCTTCTTAACAACTACAGCCAAAATCACTGATGCATTTGAAAAGATATCAGCTTGTTGGGGACTAATGACGCAGTTTTTATACAGTGTTAGTCCTTTTGTTAGTGTGCATTTACAGAAATCATCGCCAAACCAACTGAAAATGAACAGAAATGGGGTCTATAGTTTACATGACAATGTATGTGTTCAATTCCCCCATTTATTTTGTGTCAACAGAATATTCACTACTCGTGGCCTTCTCTCTAAAATGCTAAACAAACCTATATTAATATATATTTCAAACTAAAACTTGTTTGCTTTCAAGAAGAAACATTTATTGTATATTCTTATTTAAACAAACGGGTGTGCCTTGCAGCGTTTGTTTGTATATAAAAGTGTAATAAACTTTGATGTAACTTTAACTGTGCTTTATTGGTAGATCTCTAGATATCAGTTTTGATTGACAAGCTGCATATGTAATAGGGATCACCGCCCCCAAAAGTGCAGTAACTGCAGTGTACTGTGTTATTTTGGACGCAGTACTTTCCTAATAACTTCAGTGTACTGCAGTTCAAGTATACAGTGGGGAAAAAAAGTATTTAGTCAGCCACCAATTGTGCAAGTTCTCCCACTTAAAAAGATGAGAGAGGCCTGTAATTTTCATCATAGGTACACGTCAACTATGACAGACAAAATGAGAAAAAAAAATCCAGAAAATCACATTGTAGGATTTTTTTATGAATTTATTGGCATATGATGGTGGAAAATAAGTATTTGGTCAATAACAAAAGTTTCTCAATACTTTGTTATATACCGTTTGTTGGCAATGACACAGGTCAAACGTTTTCTGTAAGTCTTCACAAGGTTTTTCACACACCGTTGCTGGTATTTTGGCCCATTCCTCCATGCAGATCTCCTCTAGAGCAGTGATGTTTTGGGGCTGTCGCTGGGCAACACAGACTTTCAACTCCCTCCAAAGATTTTCTATGGGGTTGAGATCTGGAGACTGGCTAGGCCACTCCAGGACCTTGAAATGCTTCTTACGAAGCCACTCCTTCGTTGCCCGGGCGGTGTGTTTGGGATCATTGTCATGCTGAAAGACCCAGCCACGTTTCATCTTCAATGCCCTTGCTGATGGAAGGAGGGTTTCACTCAAAATCTCACGATACATGGCCCCATTCATTCTTTCCTTTACACGGATCAGTCGTCCTGGTCCCTTTGCAGAAAAACAGCCCCAAAGCATGATGTTTCCAACCCCATGCTTCACAGTAGGTATGGTGTTCTTTGGATGCAACTCAGCATTCTTTGTCCTCCAAACATGACGAGTTGAGTTTTTACCAAAAAGTTATATTTTGGTTTCATCTGACCATATGACATTCTCCCAATCCTCTTCTGGATCATCCAAATGCACTTCAGACGGGCCTGGACATGTACTGGCTTAAGCAGGGGGACACGTCTCGCATTGCAGGATTTGAGTCCCTGGCGGCGTAGTGTGTTACTGATGGTTGGCTTTGTTACTTTGGTCCCAGCTCTCTGCAGGTCATTCACTAGGTCCCCCCGTGTGGTTCTGGGATTTTTGCTCACCGTTCTTGTGATCATTTTGACCCCAAGGGGTGAGATCTTGCGTGGAGCCCCAGATCGAGGGAGATTATCAGTGGTCTTGTATGTCTTCCATTTCCTAATAATTGCTCCCACAGTTGATTTCTTCAAACCAAGCTGCTTACCTATTGCAGATTCAGTCTTCCCAGCCTGGTGCAGGTCTACAATTTAGTTTCTGGTGTCCTTTGACAGCTCTTTGGTCTTGGCCATTGTGAAATTTGGAGTGTGACTGTTTGAGGTTGTGGACAGGTGTCTTTTATACTGATAACAAGTTCAAACAGGTGCCATTAATACAGGTAACGAGTGGAGGACAGAGGAGCCTCTTAAAGAAGAAGTTACAGGTCTGTGAGAGCGAGAAATCTTGCTTGTTTGTAGGTGACCAAATACTTATTTTCCACCATAATTTGCAAATAAATTCATTAAAAATCCTACAATGGGATTTTCTGGAATTTTTTTTCTCAATTTGTCTGTCATAGTTGACGTGTACCTATGATGAAAATTACAGGCCTCTCTCATCTTTTTAAGTGGGAGAACTTACACAATTGGTGGCTGACTAAATACTTTTTTTCCCCACTGTAACTGGGTCATTCCATGAATAGCATACATTTTGCTTCCCTTTGATATTTTAAGTAGACATTTTTCACAGATATTTAAGCCTGTTATGTTAAATGAAGGGCCCTTTAATATAGACCACATGGAAAATTCTATAAATCTGACTTACTAATGTGCCAAAAACTTACTAATGTGCCAACTAATGTGCCAAAAAACATTTTGACATGTTCCTTGTCATGTTTTTCAGACTTCTAGGAACATTTCAACCCACTTAATTGGCACTTATTATAATCCTTTTAAATTTATTTAATCCCTTGAATTGGGAAAACAATGTTTTTTATGAAGTTGAACATGTGCTCCTTATGACAGAATGTTAAAATTAGGTGAAATTAATAGTTTTTTTGGACCAAGTTTCACTACCTGAAAGGTACTCTTTTGGTGGATTGACCCAACTGCATTGTACTGCAGTTAAACTGCCTGTAACTGCAGTAATATACTGCAAAATAAGCCTACTGCACAACATAAAAACAATGTTATTTTGAACGCAGTACTTGCATGCAATCTTTTTTCGTAAGGAACGTGCGGCCAACCCAGGATGGGAACCCCAGTCCACATCACCACCCCAGTCCACATCATACACTTCATACAGTAACTATCAACTCAGTCCTCATTGGATGGCCATGGCTTCTTTCTGTTACAAAAATGCACCATGGTAGTACATAGAGCTGGGCGAGAGGGACAACAATCCATAATGCGATAAATTGCCTGAATAGATGCGATAGTGATAAATAGAACGATAACTTTATAACATTAATGTGCACCACAGTTGTTTTAGTTTTTTTATTATCCTTTAAACTACTATTACTATTTTGCTGGTTTTAGCCATCAAAAAGGGGTCCACGGCCCCAAAAAGTTTGAGAACCGCTGGTCTTGTAGTGTAGTGTACACGATTAAATCTTTGGACCTGAATTTTAAACCTTGAAGATAAGGTTTAAAATAATGTTTATCTGGTGCTTCTCTCGTCTACACAGTTTTCAGTTGTCTCTCTCTCTCATTCAACTAACTAGGCTACTCTTATACAATTCTAAATAGCCAATTTGTAAAAAGGTATTAATAATTATCTTATCTCATAAATACATTTTCATCATGTCATTTTCATAATTCTCAACATATCCCTAACAACAGCAAGTTACAATGTTCCCCTTTGTTTACACTCTCTGAGTCCTCTGTTTCTATGCTAATGGACTTTTATAAATTAATTAAACTATCAAAACGTCATTAAAAAAATAACAACAATAATATCATTACACTACGCTTAACTTGGTGTTTCCTATCCTATGCTTTATAACTCGCTCACCTTGAAGAAGTTGGATAGCACACTGTATTACTTACACAACTAATATAAGGACATGAGACAGTAGAAATTAACGTGGGCGTTGTGTAATGCATTTCACAGGACAAGACATTCCAAGCATTCCGATGTATGTAAGTAGAAGCGACAAAGTAGAATATCAATACACAACATATTCTTCCCCCTTTACTTTTGATGCCTCATAAGGA